GGAAAAAACATGAAGCCCATCTTTAAAATGTTGGGTTTAAAGTGTTGGCAAGGCAAAAAGACAAAACTACTTCTCACTTAGTAACGGTACATTTCTCTTAAGTTAAAGCAATACTTTTTACCACTGAGAATGGCTATAAATGTTTTTCTGAACTTGTGAGAAGTTGGGGTGTGCAATAGGCCTAATGTATTAGTACCTATAAGAGAGAGATATAAGTACTTCCACACGTTTATGTATATCAAGGAAGTATTGGGAGATGTGGACAGGAAAAAGGAGAAAAGTCAATAGAACCAGAATCTGGAGTCTGGAAAGATTTCCTGAAGCAGATGCACTATAGCTTGGGTAGGAATGAAGAAGAGAGCCCCAGAGGAAAGGACAAAAGATTAGCTTCTGTGGAATGGAGCTGTGATTCCCAAACCAGAGAATCTGAGTCAGATTTTGGAACTGCTGAAGGTAGAATACAAAGCAGGGTATGAAGTTGTTACTAGTCTAGAGGGGTTCAGAGGGTAAAGACCAGTACAGATTAGGTGTTTCAGTTTGACTAAAGAAGCCCTTGGAGCCACTGCAAGCTTTTGAGAAAGGGAATGAATACCAGGTTTCTCATATTTTAAGGAAATGGTTCTTCTATGACATTTTGCCAGGGAAAGAGTAGCTTACATGATTCAGTAACACATCTCCATAACAATGATGCTTTTGTGTATGTTTTTCTTTTATCAAAATGCTTTTACAATGTTCCTTGGAACACTCCTGTGAGATAGCTTTTACCATTCCCATTTCTTTCTCACTCTCTCTTTTTCTCTTTCTTTCTTTCACAGGGTCTTGCTTTGTTGATTGGTCAGTCTGGAGCACAGTGGCGCCATGATAGCTCATTGTAATGTTGACTCTTGGGCTCAAGTGATCCTCCTGCCTCAGCCTCTTGAGTAGCTGGGACTACAGGCTTTTACCACCATACTTGGCTAGTTTTTTTTTTAGTTTTTTTGTAGAGATGAGGTCTCACTATGTTGCCCAGGCCTATTCCCCCGGTTTTTTTTTTTGGAAAGCAGGATTTATTGAGAGGACAGAAAAGCTCCCACGGTGAAAGGGAACCCGAAGGAGTTGCCCTTTTCCCACTTTTTATAAGAGAAAATAGAGGCCAGGATTGTTGAGTAGCTAGTTCAGGGTCACATAAGCTGTCTGATGTCAGGCTCAGGATTCAAACATCCTTTCTGTGACATCTCAGCAGTTTCAGTTAAGGATTTGGACAAAATTGTTGTTGTGGGATTAGAGAAGGAAAGAACAGAACTGATTGCTCATTTCTTCTTATAAGAATTGACTTAAAAGTCTTGGCCTAAGACCAACTAGAATCAAAATTACAGAAAAATTTTTGTTGACATTGGAAATAACATGATGAAATTCTTCAGAAAATCTCTCAAAATTTGCATTGTTACTACTTATAATTTCCTCTTCCTTTCCCCCCACCTCCCTTTTGGCCCTGAATCTGTAGAAGTTTCATCTTTTTTTTTTTTTTTTTTTTGAGTTGGAGTCTCACTCTGTCCCCCAGACTGGAGTGCAGTGGCCGCTCACGGCCTCTGCAGCCTCGACCTGCTGGGCTCCGGCAATCCTTCCGCCTCAGCCTTCCGAGTAGCCGGAATTACAGGCATGCGCTACCACGCCTGGCTGATTTTTTGATTTATTGTATAGATGAGGTCTCGCTGCCCAGGCGGGTCTCGAACCCGCGGGCTCAGGCAATCCACTCACCTCAGCCTCCCAAAGCCGTGGGATTACAGGCCGAGCCACTGAGCCCAGCTAGAAGTTTCATCTTATTTCATACTTACAATTTTAGGAAAGGAACATCTAACATCGAATGATTCTGATCTGTCAGTGTTAGTGAAACACCAGTAACTGTCTCTTATTTGAAGCACCATTTCAACAGATGAAACCTCGGCTAGAATAAAATATTTTTAGTTCTACTTTTCATCTGAAGTATGTTTCATTTGAAATATGTTGTAAATGACCTATTTGAAACAGTTACACAATTTTAGAACTGAGACACTTTATTATTATTTTCTTGAGTTAGAGTCTCTGCTGCTTAGGCTGGAGTATAGTGGCACAATCACGGCTCACCACAGCCTTGACCAGGGCTCGAGCAGTCCTTCTACCTCAGCCTCCCGAGTAGCTGGGACTGCAGGAGCATGCCACCACTGCCAGCTGATGTTTTGTAGAGATGAGATGAAGTCTTGCTATGTTCCCTAGGGTGATCTCAAACTCCTGGGCTCAAGCAATCCTCCTGCCTTGGCCTTTCAAAGTGCTGAGTTTACAGGCCTGAGCCACCGTGCCCAGCTAGAACTGAGACACTGGGAAACATCTGTAGGTTTAGAATTCTTATACCTCGCCTGGACTCAGTGGCTCAGCCTGTAATCCCAGTGCTTTGGGAAGCCAAGGCAAGTAGATTGCCTGAGCCCCGGGGTTCGAGACCAGCCCGGACAACTTGGTGAGAGCTCGTCTCTACAATAAATAAAAGAATTAGCTGGGCATGGAGTTTTTTGTTGGAGTCTCACTCTGTTGCCCAGGCTGGAGTGCTGTGGCACACTCACGGCCACTGCAGCCTCGACCTGCTGGGCTCAGGCGATCCTTCCACCTCAGCCTTCCGAATAGCTGAAATCACAGGTACATGCTACCACACCTGGCTAATTTTTGATTTATTTTAGAGACAAGGTCTCGCCAAGTTGCGGGGGGGCTGTCTCCAACCTGCGGGCTCAGGCAATCAATCCACTTGCCTTGGCCTCCCAAAGTGCTGAGATTACAGACTGAGCCACTGAGCCCGGCGGGGAAGTAGGGATTTTAATTTTATTTTTTACAAGAAGCAACCAAGGCTCACAGAAATGGTTATCTAATATGTAACTGTGAACAGTGGACCCAAGAGTCTGAGTGCTTTCTGACTTTAGCACATAACACCACCATATGCTGTGTTTTTATTGACTCAAGATGAGTTCATCTAGTGTTAGAGCTAGAAGAGACCATGGAGATACTCTCTTTACCCTTTTCATCCCGTAAATGAGCATGGATTCTGGAGTTGGGCTGCTTGAATTCATATCCTAACTCTGCTGTTTATTAACTGTGTGGCATAGGAAAGTTGCTTATCCAATTCATACCTCAGTTTCTTTATCTATATAAATGGGATGATAACAGTATATCTAGGTCATAGGGTGGTGATTGTGAAGTTAAATGAGTCCATATATGTAAAGTACCCAGAAAGGTGCCTGACATATAGTAAGTACTCATAAGCATGATTAATAATTGCAATGAAGAAACTGAGTGTTACAGAGGTTAAATTACCTGTAAAGATCATATTTGAGTAGCACCACTGCACTCCAGCCCAGTCAATAGAGCAAGACCCTGTCTCTAAAGAAAAAAAAAAAAGAGTATGAACTAGACATCCCTTGTTATCCATGAAGGATTGGTTCCAGGACCTTCCTTTGGATACCAAAATACATGGTTGCTCAAGTCTCTGATATAAAATGGCATAGTATTTGCATGTAACCTATGTACATCCTCCTATATACTTTAAATAATCTCTAGATTACTTATAATACCTAATATGATGTAAATGCTTACATGTTTAGTACAGATGCAATTTTTTTCCTGAAAGTTTTGATCTGTAGTTGGTTGAATCCATGGATGCAGAACCCATGGCTACAGAGGGCTGACTAGATTGGACTTTATGCTTGGCAAAGCATTTTCAAACAATTTGTGTATCTAATCCTCATTATGGCCCTGTAAGGTCAACAGATCAAATGAAGAAAACCCTTGGATCCTCTTGAGTTGGTTCCTAGAATAGAAATTTCCAGTGTTCTGTATTATATAGTAGAATGAATTTCAGGTTCATAAAATAAAGTAGACTTCTCATTTAGCAAGACAGAGCTCTCTCCTTTTCTCCAGCCTAGCCTTTCACTTTGGCCAAGAGACCTTTCTGAGGTCAGCTAATGTCAGGGAAAAATTGAATCTCAGTTTTAGCTGGAACAGCTATTTAGTCTCTCTTTTGTCTTGGAAATCAAGTTGCCCACTTCTGCCCTAATTTCTTCATCCTTTTGGGGGTGATGATAATCCCAGCACTGCTTGCCGTAGAAGGGATTCTATGAAGGTCAGATAAACCCGGGTTGCTAAGAAGGCATTGTAAATCAGGCGCCTGGGTGCATCTATAGTCCTCAGGTCCTCCAGAGGTTGCGTATGGGAGGACTGCTTGAGGCCAGAAGTTTGAGGCTGTTGCATGCTGTGTTAGCATCTGTGACTAGCAACACAGTGAGACCCTATCTCTTAAAAGAAAAGAAAAAAAGGGCATTGCGGAGTATATAACTTGAGTGATGACCTAACTGAGAATACCGGAAGGCTGCTTATTTTGCTTTTATCCCCAGAGGGAGCCCATGCCCCTTGCTTGAGTCAACTATTACCAGAATTATTTTTTTCTGTGGAACCAGTAACAGGCAGGGGGTACATCTTATCCTTGGAGAAATGAGCATAGTCAGGCTTGGTCTTGGTCCCATTTTGAAAGTTCTTCGTTCATGTGCTGCCCCATTCTGGCAGAATTTCTAAACATAGGTACCAAAGGCAAGGTCTGAAAGGGTCCTGAATGCAGTAGCTTCTGTCCCTGTGGAATTGGGGCATGACACCCTCCTTGCATGTGCCTACATTCACCAATTGGATGTGATATTGTGATGTAGGAAATGTATGTTTGGTTGTAATCTGGTTCCTGGCACTGAGCTCCTAAAACCCTTAGAAAGTGATGGGGTGAGAGGAGTGTGTTTTGTTATTCATAATAACCCCCTTTTTAACCACACTTTATGCTAATGAGGTAACTATCCTTTTCACCCAGAAATTCTAAGGGTTTCAGGAGCTCTGTTCCAGTAACTAGAGATAAAAGCCAAATATATGGTTACTATTATATTATAGTGTCACAGGTACACTCTTTGCCTTCTGCATATGGATTGTGATTTAGATTCCTGACAGAGTATGTTTTTCTCTAGAGGAACCAGACTAGCATTTCCCAGTGGGTTCCAGTATGCGGCCGATTGGTACCTGTGTCTTCTCCCCAAGAACAGTGGAGCAGCACTCTGTCTGGTGCTTCCCAGGTAAGGTTTGTCGTTCCTTTGCTTAGTATGAAAACCTTAGTGTTTATGTGTAAATGTCATGTATTTATAGATTAGCCAACCAAATTGTGTGATGGAAAAACCTCATGAGACCACTCTGGGGCTCTGTGGTGCCAGCTTAGGACTGATTCCTACAGTATGGTGTTCAGGGCGTTGCTTCTAAATACCCCAGCAATGGAACATAGCCCAGGAGACCGTGCTACAGTCTGATGGTTTTTACTGTTAGGGAGTTTTTCCAGATACTCATCTCAGAGTTAACTTTTTTAAGGTTTTTTTTTTTTAAGCCACTTTTATTTGGAGGTAAGAACTATATCTTTCTTTTTCATTTTCTTTTTTTATAAATATAAAATCCAAGAAACAATTATTTGTGGTCTTAGTTTACCATTGTCTATGTGATTCGCTAATATGTAGTTTGCCTTGAACCCTTTGTAAGATTTTCCCCCTCCTGATTTTTGTTAATCATACAAATAATTTAGTAATAAAGGAAATAAAAATATCCTATGACTTCAAATCTGAAACATCAATATTTTTATCTCTGCTAGTTATTTTCCATCCCGTGTGTGTGTACACTAATGTCTTCCTTGAGTACATTAACAGATATCCACAGGATTTTATATTCTGGGTACCTTTTCACTTATTAGAGCAGACATTATTCATATTGTTTAGGTAGACTTTGTAATTAAATTCTTAATAGCCACATGGTATTTTATTTACTCAACCTTTGTTTGATATTAAAAATCATTTCCCTTTTTTGCCGTTGTAAGCTTCAATTTTCCTAGCATATATTTTTCTTATTTTTAATTATTTATCAAATTTTGGGAAAGTGTACCCTTGGTTAAAGGGTATGAGCAGTTTGCCTCTTTAAAAAGTTGTTTTAATTTATAATGTCACAAGCAATTATATATAACTAATTTTTCATCATTGCCTTCCTCAAGTTGGGTTTTATGTTTTGTTGTTTTTTGAGTTGGGGTCTCGCTGTGTCGCTCAGGCTGGAGTGCAATGGCTTGATCACAGCTCACCACAGCCTCGATCTCCTGGGCTAAGGTGATCCTTCTGTCTTAGCCTCCTGAGTAACTAAAACTACAGGTGCATACCACCATGCCTGGCTAACTTTTTGACTTTTTTTGTAAAGATGAGATTTTGCTGTGTTGTCCAAGTTGGTCTTGAACTCCTGGGCTCAACTGATTCTCCTGCCTCAGCCTCCCAAAGCGTTGAGATTACAGGTGTGAGCCATCACACCCAGCCTAAATTGAGTGTTTTTTAAAATTTATACAAATTGGGTAGAAAATATTGCCTTGTTTTTCCTTTTTTTTCTTTGTTTAGCTATCAGGGCTATACACTATTTTCTGTGTTAGTTGCATTCTAGTTTGTGAAAATTGCATTCTTGTCATCTTCATTCATGTACTGGGAATTCTTTTTTTTTTTTTAATTGAAGTTTCACTTTATCGCTCCAGGCTGGAGTGCAGTGGCACGCTCATGGCTACTGCAGCCTCAACGTACTGGGCTCAGGTGATCTTTCTACCTCAGCCTTTCCCCAAAAAAGAGGTGTTATTTAAGAAAGATAGAGATGTGAGTACAGTGTCCTTAGCTCTTTGAAAATTATAATAAGATTACAATATTGAACATTACCTTAGAAATAATCTGATACTACCACTTATCCAATGAAGGATTACCTTATGTCAGGCCTGTGCCATCAATGTACCTTGTATTTTAAAAATTTTTTTTGAGTTGGCGTCTCACCCTGTCACCCAGACTGGAGTGCAGTGGCCGCTCCCAGCCACCGCAGCCTCGACCTGCTGGGCTCTGGCGATCCTTCCGCCTCAGCCTTCCAAGTAGCCGGAATTACAGGCATGCGCTATCACGCCCGGCTGATTTTTTGATTTATTGTAGAGATGAGGTCTCGCTGCCCAGGCGGGTCTCAAACCCGCAGGCTCAGGCAATCCACTCACCTCAGCCTCCCAAAGTGCTGGGATTACAGGCTGAGCCACCGAGCCCGGCTGTAATTTTTTTTATTTGTTGTAGAGATGAGATCTTGCCAAGTTGCCCAGGCTGATCTCAATACTCTGGGCTCAGGCAGTCCTCTCACTTCCACCTCCCAAAGTGCTGGGATTATAGATGTGAACCACTGTGCCTGGCTGAAATTCATTTATCTCATCAGTTTTTGATTATTTTCACTTCTAGCCATTAACTTTCTTTTTCATATTTGATGCAGTTTTTAAAAATTATGTTTTCTATATATAAGTATTATATAATTTAGTTATATAACATATGTTTTAAAAAATTCCCTATAACTAATGTGTAAGCCCTTCTGAGGACATCTCGTTTGTGTCTTCTCACTAAGCATATGTAGGCACTAAGTGTATGTTGAGTGAATGAAGAATATGCCTGTTCAGAAGAGGCTTCTATTTTGGCTTGTCACACAGGTATTTATTTTCAGAGTTGGGCTACACTCTGTTACTTTTTGTATAATGTTTTAATAACATTTATCATATAGTTCTAAATAATGTGTTATTTGTGTGTACGTAGATGGTGGGGGAGGAACTCATATGAATCCCTGACGTTTGTCCCATTCTTTGGATCACCTAATATGTATCAGGCATTGTATTAGGCTCTGGGACAGCATTATAGCAAAGCCATTTATGTAAATAACTCAGGGTGGTTTATCTCATACTGACTAGGTGTAATTTTAGTCATTGTAAATAACCTGGACCTTTTTTCATATAGTCTGTAACTTACTGGCATAACTTCCCATCTCTGAAGTCCTCTGGTTGGAAACTTCTGCATCAGAATGGTATTCTCAGAAACATTTCTAACAGGGGAGGCAGATTTAGCTCAGAATCAGGAAGAATTTTGTTAATTAGAATGGTGTGTAATAGAAGGTGTGGGCTGCATTTTCACACAGTAAATTTACTCTTACTAGAAATATTCAGGCAGTGGTTAGATGGTTGTATGTCAAGGGCCTGACATAAAGGAATCCTTCATTGGTGAGTGGTAGTATCAGATTATCTCTAAGGTAATGTTCAGTTCTATAATAACATTTTCTTTTTTTTTTTTTTTTGAGTTGGAATCTCACTCTGTGGCCCAGACTGGAGTGCAGTGGCCACTCCCGGCCACTGCAGCCTCGACCTGCTGGGCTCCGGCGATCATTCCGCCTCAGCCTTCCAAGTAGCTGGAACTACAGGCGTGTGCTACCACACCTGGCTAATTTTTGATTTATTGTAGAGATGAGGTCTTGCTGCCCAGGCGGGTCTCGAACCCGCGGGCTCAGGCAATCCACTCACCTCAGCCTCCCAAAGCCGCGGGATTACAGGCTGAGCTACCGAGCCTCTTTTTTTTTTTAAATTTGAGTTGGAGTCTCACTCTGTTGCCCAGGGTAGAGTACAATGGTACAATCTCAGCTTGCCACATTCCTTTTTTTAGAAAGCAAGATTTATTGAGAGGACAGAAAAGCTCCCACAGTGGGAGGGGACCTGAGTGAGTTGCCTTGTCACATTCTTGACCTCCTGGGCCCAGGAAATCCTTCCGCCTCAGCTTCCTGAGTAGCTGGGACTACAAGGCACACGCCACAATGCCCGGCTAATTTTTGAAAATTTTTTTGTAGAGATGAGGTCTTGCTTTGTTGTCCAGGCTGGTCTTGAATTTCTAGTCTCAAGCAGTTCTTCTGCCTCAGTCTTCCAAAGTGCTGGGATTGCAGGCATGAGCTATTACACCTGGCTGAAATAGCCTCTTGAAGTTTTGTATACTGTAAAACACTTTTTAAAGTTTTGAAATAATTTTAGACTTTTGTAAATGTTGTAAAAATAGTAAAGTTTCCATATAACCTTCATTTGGCTTTCCCTAATGTTAACATCTTACAGAATCATCAAGATGCAATTGTTGGAACCAGGAAATTAACATTAAAATAATACTAGCCACACGTGGTGGCTCATGCCTGTAATCTCAGCACTTTGGGAGGCGGAGGCAATAGGATTGTCTGAGTCCAGGGGTTCGAGACCAGTCTGGGCAACTTGGCGAGACCTCATTTCTACAATAAATCAAAAAATTAGCTGGGCGTGGTGGCATGTGTCAGTAGTTCCAGCTACTTGGAAGGTTGAGGTAGAAAGATTGCCTAAGCCCAGCAGGTAGAAGCTGTGGCAGCCATGAACATGCCACTGCACTCCAGCCTGGGTGAAAGAGTGAGACTGCAACTCAAAAAAAAAAAAAAAGAAGTAATACTATTAATTAATCAATATACCTTATTCTACAGTTTTTTCACTAATGTTCTTATTTTGATCTGGGGTACAAGATCCCAGATTGCATTTAGTTACCATATGTTCTTAGTCTTCTCCAATCTGTTACATTTTCTTATTCTTTTTTTTTTTTTTCAGGATTTTGACACTTTTGAAGAGTACTAGTCAGTTTTTTGTAGAATGTTTCTCAATTTGGGTTTGTCTAATATTTTTTCATAATAAGATTGAGGTTATGCATTTTTGGCAAAAGAAATGTTGCCACCTTCTTGGTACATAATATTGGGGGTATGTGCTGATGTGTCTCATTACTGGTGACATTAACTTTGATCACTTAGTTACATTAGTGCTTGTCTGGTTCCTCTACTCTACAGTTAGTATTTTCTCTTTATAATTAGTAAGTAACTTCTGAGGAGATACTTTGAAACTGTGCAGATATCCTGTTTCTCATCATACTACTCACAAATTATAGCCGTCATTTACTTTTAAAAATGATATATTAATTAATTTTATTGTAGCAATAAACACATAACATTATATTTACCATCATAACAATTTTTAAGTATACTGTTCAGTAGTATTAAGTGTATTCACATTGTTTTTCAGCAGATCTCTAGAACTTTTATCTTGCAAAACTGAAACTTTATACTAATAAAACACTAATTCTACTCCTCCCCCATTTCTATGATTTTGACTACTTTAAATACTTCATGTGAGTGGAGTCATACAGTTTTTGCCCTTTTGTGACTGGCTTAT